TTAAATCGCACAGTTGCCACTCTTGTTACAGAAGACTTTCAAATCTTTGTTGATTTTGATTAATTGAAGCCTGAAAAAGGAAGAGTTGAGGGAAATAGGGTGGAGATATGAGGTAGTTTTCCTAGAACCAAAATGGATTCGTAAAATCTCTAGATTAGATAGCCTGTCATAATATGCCAAAAAACAAAAAAAAACTAAGCCCTGACCATTTATTGAAATACAGACTGTTGTCAACTTTCACAAAAGAGTTTTCCTTGAATTTAACTCATGATGCCACTGGGAAGACCCAAGATAATTAAAGAAATGAAATAAACACTTACCTGCTCATTTCATTTATGTCATAATTTCCCCTGGGTTGTGTCTGTTTAATGTAATGCCATGGCTCTTGAATTATAACCTTTGTATTTCAACAGCCAATCAGAAGTTCCTTGAAAAGCCTGTGACCTAATCCAAGGAAGTAAATATTTGCTTTGTGAACCACATTCATTGTCTATAATAAAATTATATTTATTGACACAGAGTTTTTTTTTTAATCTCAAACACAAAGTTTAAGGAATTCAGAGAGATTTTAGATGTTTATTACTCATGTTAGAATTTCAAGTATAAAGCATTTACAGAGTTTAGCAAAAAAAAAAAAAAGCCTGCACATCTAGTAAACAGTAGAGCAAGAATGCAAATCCAGTTCTATTTCAAACAAGTGTTTCTGTTCCACCAGACCTCACTGTTCCTCCTACAGGGGCCTCTTATTCATTATAAATTCCAGGCTTACACATTCTGTATTACTGAGGCTTTACAATATTTGATAAACTGGAACCAGTAATAATTATAAAAAATTTTACACTTTCTCGGTAGTTTAACAGCTGAGGGGCTTTATAGATTTTCCAAGCTAAATATTTAAGCTTTTGAAACCAGCTGTCTACAGTCACAGAATTTAAAAATTCAAAACCAGGAACTTATCAGAGCACTAAATCACATGAAACACCACTCATTAAGGTACCAGATTAGTCTCAACTTTTAAAGATTTAAGTTTCACCTCCAGTCAGAAAATGAGGTAAGTTAGGATTCTAATATGACATGGCCTTATGAAACTTAATTGATTTCATTCTGATGAGAAACTTAAATTAATGTTCTGGAGGACCTCCATCGACTTGCCTATTTCCTTTCAATCTCACTTATCTCGGGAAATCTCAAAAGTTTACACTGGCAACTGGCAGAAACAGTCAAGGAAAATCTGAGAACTGGTCATGTTGTGTGTTCAGTTGGCCAAAAAGTTCAAGTTCTTCTGTAAGATACATCCTTCTTGTTAGTAAGGTGTGAGTGTACGTGCATAGCACACAAAAATGATAGACCTCAGCGAGTAAGAGAACATGTGTGCTTTGGAAGGACCAAGGGTGGTGGAAAGTGGCAGTAAGTTTTGGACACCACAGCAGCCCTAATCCTATGGCTGATCCTTCTCCAGCTGTGTCTCTTAAAATTAACATTAGCATTTCAAATAAATAAAATCATTCAGAATACAGTGGACAAGGTGGGAGAAGACTTGAACAAATGATCCTCAAGATAAAAAAAAAAGCTGCTGTAAGCTTGTCGAATAAAAATTATCAGCATTTTTAGTAACCAAAGAAATAAAAGTTTGAAAATATCATTTTCACATATCAAATTAGTAATGATTTTTTAAAAGATGATATTATTTTGCAGAGATCTAGATATCCTAAGTATCAAGCCTAAAGGAAAAAAAAAAGCCATAAAAATCTATGCCTAAGAATGCACATCACTTAAAACAGTAAAATACTGGAAATAATATAAACATTGAAAGATTACCTAATAAACTGAAATGCATAAGGTGAACTATTTTGCAATCACTAAATTATATTAAAAATACTGATTTCAGTTTCTTGGAAAATGCCAACAAAGTAATATCTGTTGTTTGAAAAAGCAAGTATGAAGCTCTATAATGTGATTCAAACTCTTAAAAAAAAATGCCTGTTGATTCATAGGAAATGAATTGGTCATAAACTGCCCCATATATTCAGTAGCAGTTTTTTAGGCTTTGGAAGACATGCTAGGCACATACCCAGCACTTTATATACACTGCACTATATTTATGCTTGCAAACATCTCAGGAAGTGGGTGTTTATCCCTACTGTTATATCGGAAGAAACCGAGGCTCAAAGCAGGTAACTGACTTGACCACAGTGACAAAGCTATTAAACAGAGGAGCCAGGACAATAACTAAAGTCAACCTGCCCCAAAGCTTGTGTTCATCATGCCCATGCCTGCCTACAGGTAATTTAAACTTTAATTAAAGTTTGAAACAGATCAACAATAGCAGTATTATGGCAAAAACATGAATATTCACAAAGTGACAATTCTAAAAATGGCTTCCTGCAAAGATGTAGGATTATGAACATGATCTTTAGAATCTCAAACTAGTATATTTGGTAATGAATGTGAGCATTCTTCTAAACAAATGTAAAAATCAAGAAAGTCTTTTGTGATCCATGCCCACTCTGCAAAATTCATTTATTGAATAAGTTCTTATTTAACATTTGCCTGTTGCCAGATATTGTGCTAGGTATTGGCACAGCAGCAAGAATAACAAGAGAAAGAAATTTTTCTGGATATTAGTGAAGTCTTTGGGGGGAAAGTGGAGATGGGAAGAGATGGTGAGGGTAAATATAATCTAACATTAAAAGACCTGGCTACCTAAATGTAAGGACTGTTTCATTTCTTAACACTTCCACAAACATTTATAGTATTACTGAGGATCCAGGTCACTCCCTGGAAATAGCATGTGATTTTAAACCTCTATAATGCACGCTTATACTCTACCTGTAATAATCAAATGAAATAAAATACTTTTTACTATCATGGAACCTGATGGCTCAGTGGGTAAAGAATCCACCTGCAATGCAGCAGACACAGGAGATACGGTTTTGATCCCTAGGTCGGGAAGATCCCCCTGGAGGAGGAAATGGCAACCCACTCCAGTATTCGTGCCTGAAAAATCTCACAGACAGAGGAGCCTGGTAGGTTACAATCCGAAGGGCTAAAGAGTTGGACATGTTAAGCAGAAGCATAGCACATAAGCAACTTTATTCTCATCCACTGTGTGTACAGTGGTCCTTGTATTTGCCCTTCTGGGTGGTGCAATATATTTTCATTGTTAAGTAAGCAGAGTTGGGCTATCAGGAAAAGAATTCTCAGCAGAAATGCAGTTGGATAGACTCCCATCTCTCTTGGCTCCATATTTCCTTATCAATGCCCACCTTTCACTTTTCCAGAAAAGCCCATGTCTTTTAGCAAATGGATTTCTAATATGAAGGCCACAGTCTCTAGAACTGCAAATTAACAGGTAAATGCTTTCTTACTTTTAATTCTTGAGTCAATCAGAATTTTTATCAATTTACTTTTGGATCTGGCTGTTATAATAAGGTCAAATGGGTGAGGATATAAACATTTCTACTTTTCTTCAAAGGCCCTGGCCTTAGTGGTAAGAAATGTTAAGGAATTTTCTTTTTTTATTATTTTAAAAAGTCTAAGACATCCACAGGAATGATAATGAATTAGACTCTCAACATTATGAGTTCAAATAATTTAGGACACTGTAGTGAAGTGTTAGTTGTTCAGTCGTGCCCAACTCTTCATAAGCCCATGGACTGTAGCCCACCAGGCTCCTCCGTCCTTGGAATTCTCCACGCAAGAATAGTGGAGTGGGTAGCCATTCCCTTTCCAGGGGATCATCCCCACCCAGGGATTGAACCTGGGTCTCCTGCATTGCAGGCAGATTCTTTACTATCTGAGCCAACAGGGAAGCCCAGATCTCTGTAGAAAGATTCCCTGAAGGCAGAGAGATATCTATTTGAGCAGGAAAAGCTGGATGCCTTATTAATGATCAGGAATAGCAAATTAACTCTTTTTGTTAATTCTCTTTCGTAGGGACTAAAAACCAAGGAATAGTTGAGGAGCCAGAGCAAGAGGGTAGAATTTAGCACATCAGACACCTTCTGTTGCTTGTTCTGTAAATTAGGTGGGTCTCTTAATCTTTCAGACTACAAATTCAGGAAGAAGGATAAGTGCCCATGGCTCTGAGATCAGGTGGCATTGTCATGGAGATTCATCTCATTTAATAAATGATACCATCCAATCCTTTGTAAATAAACACTTTTCTCATCTCCAAAAACTGTAAATAAACTACCCTATCATGATTTCTTTAAATACGGTTTCTTAGATTATTAAAACAGTGAATGTCTACTCTCCCATGAGTGTGCTAATTATTGTTTTAGTTCATGCTAACAGAAAAAACAGCTTAATAATAGTAACTTAGTTGGAGGAGGTCAAACGGCTCATTCATTTGAATTAGTGAATACAAATCAGCTTTTCATTAGATATTAGTGCAAAATGTATGTTTCACAGATAACTGCTATTGTTGTCACAAGAAGCAATACAATTTACCCAAAGTGTTTCACAGTTTTCGAAAGTATTTAATACAAATAATGTCTAGAAGCTATGAAACCAGGACGGAAAGATTATTACTCATTACAAGAGTGAAAACCGTTTCTCATTTCTCCAATTAAATGCTTTTCAGAGGGTTCATCACCCGGAAAACCAGTGTATGTGAATGCCGGAAATGCAGACGACAGTCTCAGAAACGCTTATTTTAATCGGGAATCAAACTACAAGATTGCTCTCATTATTATTTGCGACAGCCATCCCATGATGGAAAGAGTCTGGCTGTATCACAATTTTTAAAAAGAAAAAGAAACAACTGTGGGAAGACTGCAAAGTTCTGTAGACAAACCTTCGAGTGCCTCTTTTTAAAGAAGGAAACGTTTATGGAAAGGTCAGAGTGGTTAGGAAAACTACTATGCCAGGAGCCAGGGTCAGTCTTGCCAGAGCGACCGAGATTGTCCCAGGTGAGTGGCTGTCCCTTCAGGGGTTCCGGATGGAGGCGGGGGGCGCAGGGCGTGTCTCCCGCACCGTGGGCATCGTTTTTGGCCAAGGCGACCCTTGCTCTGTACCCAGGAGCCCAGAGACTCCGGAGGCTGGCGCGGGCTGCTGGGGAAGCCCTGCCAGCAGCCTCCCGCTCGCCAGGAGCATCTCCCCATCCGTGGTTTCCGAGACCAGCTCTGTCTCTCCGCCATCCTCAAGTCCTCCGACATTTTTCAGAGACAGGGAGGTAGGGAGTAGAGGAAACGGCCGAGTGTCTGCACCCAGCCTCTGCCGCAGCACAAGAAGAGGCAGGGGAGGAGGAAGGCTGGCGAGTCAGCCGCTATTAAACGGGAATTCTGGCGATAATAGAAAGAATCAGCACCACCTATAGTAAGAGTCCCGGATACACCCACCCGGGCAGCGGCTAGGGGTTTGGTGGGCGTTCCACCTCCTCGCCCCTGGATGGCTGTGAAATCTACCCCAAGCAGTGCACACTGGAACTCCCTTCCCTCCGACCTAAAGGAGGGGAAAGAACAAAAGAGAGGCCCCCATCCCCTACACACACACACACACACACACACACCCCTCAGCTATTTTACCGACGCTCAAGGTAAGCATTTTTGCACCGACCCCACCCCCCTCCCCTGACATCTTCCCCACCTGCATTTTCCCAAAGGTAAAGAAAGAAGAAAATACCACCCCGAGGTGCCCGTTCGGTTGGACACTGTTAATTTCACATTCGGTTTGCTAACAAGCAGCCGACCAAATCGGCGGGACCTTGAGCCCCCGCGGGGTCTCCCGCCGCCGCCGCCGCCCCCCCCCCCCCCCGCGCCGGCCCTCGCTCGGATCCCCAAGGCGCCCGGCTCTCCGCTGGGGGAACCCGACCCGAGGTTCCCGGGGCGGGCAGGACGCTCGCCCAGCGGGTCCGCAGCAACCGGAGGGCAACGAGCGCACCGTGCCGAGGCTGCAACGCGGGATTTAACTTCTCAAACCCGCGGCGCGGCCCCCGCTTCCTCCCGCGGTCTCTGGGGCGGCCCAGAGGACCCCCCCCCGCCCCCGCGTCGGCAGACTCCCCCGCCGGCGCATAGACAGTTGCACTCTCCGCCCCCTCTTTCCTTCCCCTCCGCACCCACCCCCTACTACCTTAAAAAAAAAAATGCACCCATCGGTGCAAAGCAGACATTTTGATGCCATTGACTTAGCAGCGCTCGGGATCGGAGGCAACATCTTACCCAGTCGCCTGGAGGTGTGGGCAGCGCAGCGATGGGTCCGGGGGCGCGGGGCTGAGCGGCTCGGTCCTCTAGCGGAGCCGGTTTGCTGCCATCCGCCCAACTTCAGCACCCGGCGGGCGAGGAGAGAGGGAGCCAGGAGGGGATGAAGGGGCGGGGGGAGGCGGAGGAGGGAGAGGTGGGCGGGGAGGGAGCGGGCGCCGCTCGGCAGCGCGCATGCGCCCCGCGGGCGGGCGCAGCCCCTCGCCCCGCTCGGCCGGAGGTGCCGCCGCGGCCCCCGGCCGCGTGAGTCACCGCCCGCCCCTCCCGGGCCGCCGGCCCCCGCGCGCCCGCCTCGCCGCGGCGCCCGCTGCGCTCAGGGGCTCGGTGGGGAGCTCCGGGTCGCCGCCCCTGGGGTCCGCGGCTTCGCGGGCACCTTGGAGACCTGGGAGCCTCCCTGGATGAGACAGGCTCTCGCGCCTAGGCGCCTTCCAACTTCAGGTTCCCCGGCAGCCCGGTTCATCTTGCGGTTTAGGAGATGATGTGAAAACAGAAGACTGTCTTTTAAGAAACAAAACAGGTGCAAGACGGGGTGTGTGTTTGGGGGGGGGATGTCCCATTGGAAGCCGTCCCTGGGGGTTCGGAGAAGTATGAGGCTAAATTAAACAAGTGTTGTTCCCAGGGGACTCTACTTTTACCAAGGGTTCTTTATTTTACTGAAGTCCTCAGCCCCGAATCTGACCCTCTTCCCTAAGAATGATCTCAGATGCTCTCTCTCTCGGGCCTGGGCATGTGTCTTGTCTCGGACATCAGGACTCCTGGAGCCAGAGTTTTGAGTGAGAGAAGCTGATGACAGGGCAAGAGTCCTGGATTACTAGCTGAGGTGTTGATGCTCGGGCTGGAAGCAGCCTTCCAGGTCAGCTCCATAGCGATCAGGTCTGATAACTGTGCACTTCGCAAGCGGAGCCCAGCTTGATAGTGAAGGAGCTTTGGGTATTTACTGCATCCTGAGCGTTAGATTGCATCTCCGATGATTAGATTGAAGTGTTTGTGAGGGTGAATTAGGGAAGCGGGTGTCTCTCTCTTCAGATGTGACATCTGTGGGAAGAGAAGTGAGTTCCTGGCAGGGATGATTAGGCTCTTTTCCCCTCGTTCTTATTTAAAACTGATTGCCTGTAAATATGGGCTTCCCAGGTAAATCAGCCCATAAAGAATCCGCCTGCCAGTGCGGATAAGAGACATGAGACCCGGGTTCATCCCTGGATGGGGAAGATCCCCTGGAGTAGGACATGGCAACCCACTCCAGTATTCTTGCTTGAAAAATTCCATGGGTGGAGAGATTACAGTCCATGAGGTTGTAGAGTTAGACTGGACTGAGCAGCCTGCACGCTTGTAAGTCTATATGGTTTCCCATTGCTGTGTGTTCATACGTTCAAACACTATTATCATTATTTCAGGCTCCTTTACTGAACACCCACCTAGACTTCCCCACCCACCCCCTTCTCCACTGAATTGTATCTCTGCTTGCTCCAGGGCCTTCCTCTCTAGCTAACCCTGACTTTGAGGACCATTGCTATTCACAGGGTACTTCCTGGGCCTGGGCTGGTCTGCTGATTGTTCCATATTCATCGGTAGTGAGAGATACCTAGAGAGATTGAGGGGAAGAGAAGAAATTGAGAAGAAAGTGATAGCCGTTTGGTATTGCCTTGGCATCCAAGCACATTAGTTAGTTGGACTTTGTTTTATTTTATTCGTAAAGGTTTTTGTTGAATTTTACTAGAATATTGGTCCACACAGGGTGCATCAAAAATAAAAAAAAGTCCTTCTCCAAAAAATGGTTTGAGCAGCACTACATTCTATATAACTTGCAGATTTATATCTCCACCTGACCTCTCACAGAGCTCTTTTACATCCTCAGCTACTTTTCTGTCTCTGTGTTTGTGCTTCGTCGCTCAGTTGTGTCCGACTCTTTGCAGCCCCATGGACCGTAGGCCGCCAGGCTCCTCTGCCCATGGGGATTCTCCGGGCAAGAATCCTGGAGAGGGTTGCCATGCCCTCCTCCTTTTACGTCTCTACTTGAAGATAATTATGATAGTTTAATGAACAATTACTATGTGCTAGGTACTGAGTAAATATTTAGGGGATACATTTCTTATTTTCTCTACAAGATTGATATTCTTACTATGTTTAATAAGGCTCTCAGAGCAGAACTCTGAATATCCACCCCCTTCCAAACCTATTGCTCTTCGAACTGTTTCTACCCAATCACTCCAGCCAAAAATTTAGAAATCATCTTTGTTTTGTCCCCTTTACCCCTCAGTTCAGTTCAGTTGCCTAGTCATGTTTAATTCTTTGCAACCCCATTTACTACAACATGCCAGGCTTCCTTTTCCACCACCAACTCCTGGAGCTTGCTCAAACTCATGTCTATCAAGTCAGTGATGCCATCCAACCATCTCATCCTCTGTCGTCCCCTTCTCCTCCTGCCTTCATTCTTTCCCAGCATCAGGGTCTTTTCAAATGAGTCAGTACTTCACATTAGGTGGCCAAAGTATTGGACCTTCAGCTTCAGCATCAGTCCTTCCAATGAATATTCAGGACTGAGTTCCTTTAGGATTGACTGGTTGAATCTCCTTGGAGTCCAAGGGACTCTTAAGAGTCTTCTCCAATGCCACAGTTCAAAAGCATCGATTCTTCGTCACTCAGCTTTCTTTATGGTCCAATTCTCACATCTAATTTTTTACTCCTAGATCCAATTAATTAGCAAGTCCTGTCATCTCCAAAAAGTGTCCCCAATTCATCTAGTTCTCTCCCTTCCCATTGGTGTAACCTCAGTCTAAGCCTCTGTCAACCCGTTCTCCAAACAGTAGCCAGGTAATTTTTTAAAAATATAACCAGGTTACATCACCCTTCTCTTTAAACTCTCCAGTGAGATTTTGTTGCAATTTAAATACAAACCCTAATCCTTCCCACAGCAGAGAGGTTCCTGTTTAATCTTTCCCCAGCCTGGTTCTCTTATACCATGCTCCCATAGGCCATGGCTTTGAGTGCTAGAGCCACATTGTGACTTGTGCTTTCCTGAATAAGTCTACTTGCTGTTCCTTTTGTCTGGATGCCTCTGCCCCTCCCCCCGACCCCTTTTCATAGTGAAGTGGTCGCTCAGTCATGTCCGACTCTGCGATCCCGTGGACTGTAGCCTACCCAGCTACTCCATTCATGGGATTCTCCAGGCAAGAATACTGGAGTGGGTTACCATTTCCTTCTCCAGGGGATCTTCCCGACCCAGGGATCGAACCCAGGTCTCCCGCATTGGAGGCGGATGCTTTACCCTCTGAGCCACCAGGGAAGCCCCCCGCAGGTCTCTGCTGAGATACCAGCTACTCCAATAGGCTTTATCTAGCCAACCACCCAGTGTAATCTACCCCGGCATTCTTCTCTGTTGGATACCCTTGCTTTGTTATTTTCCACACATTATTCACTCTCTGAATCAGCTTTCATTTGTTTACTTGTGTATTATCTCCTCATTCCCCTCTAGAAGAGAGTCTTTCATTGTTTTAACAAGATATGACACATCCTACATACTCAGTATTTAGTGAATGAGTGCATAATTGAATGAATAAATAACACACTGAGGAAGAATATTCTGTTTTTCCTGACACTTCGTCTTGGGTCCTCTTTGCCGCTGGTCAGAACGAGTCAAATACCCAGAAGTGCACAGATAGACTGTTCTGTTTCCCCTGCTCCCTCATCAAAGACAGCTCCATGGAATGACATGTGTTTCAACTTGATGCTGGAGTAGCATTCCTAGAACCAACTTTAAAGCAAATATACTTGATAAGAAAGAGATCCTTGCTTCTGTGAACTTTCCTAAATTGTAATCATGGCTGTTTGGGCAACCGTTTGCACCTAGGACAACTTGACTCTTCTGCTGATCATTTACTTGCTGAAAACTAATGTTACCACTTGGTGACTTCCTTTCCTAGCTGTTGCGTGTTATGTCATCCTTTATATGTTAGCCAGAAGCTTCTGTGACAGCACTCTAGGAACTGGATGAGTTGCCACATTCTGAGTGTTAGAGAAATGAGTGGAACCAGCCACTTCTTAATGACTTTCATCACTTGCAGCCTCTTGTGTGTATATCTGGGTCTTAAGAACTATCCAGAGCGCCGATGATAGCAAATGATGGCCAAGTCAATATTTCAATTCAATAAAATTTATTAAGGCCTATGATAACCTGGAATTATGTTTTCAAGTTTATTTCACAAAATGTTATGTAGAATGATTATAAATGACTCAGAAATGGATTTCAGTTCATTTTGACATAGAGATGCCTTTTCTTTTTATATGGAATTTCAGAGCTCCCTTGGCTTAGCATCATTAAACAGCTGTGTGGTAAATATGAAAAGCAGCATTTGATCATGAATATTTCCATGACATTCTGCATGTGTTTTTCAATGAATCTGGATTCAGCAGCAGATTTTGGTATAGGAGGCAACAGGAGATTTGAACACAAGGTATTTGCAGACAGGAGGAATTGGAAAAGTACAGAGCATCAGACTATTTACAGTACATTTATTCATAATTAGGAATCTATCTCAGTTAATTTGGTATCCTTCAAAGGTTGTTTCAGAAGGAAATTATGCATCATGTTTACATTTTGTTCTGTCTTTTCTCCCAAGCTTGTCTATTTAATGGTTGCTTTTCTTTTGAAAATGGAGGGAAGCAGAAGTTTTGCTTGAATCTAGGAAACCCGGATTGTTCCATCCAGACAAACTTTTCCAGAGTGGATTGTTTCATCCAGACAAAATTCTCCAGAGCGGAATGTGGAAGGATAGTTTGACTGTTTAAACACATTTTGTTCTTTATTTTTAGTAAATGGGGCTCATTATGCTTCTTGATTTGGTTTTGATCAATCTTCAGAGACAGGCTTTTCTTAGGGAACTCATTTAGGATGGAAACCGAGTCACTGTGCTATACACC